CAAATGTGCTTGGCAGTGCCAAGCTTCAATTTTTAACAATTTTGATCAAGTCCAAACAGTGTTTGAACTTGACAGCTGTCACCACTTTTGTTAACATATCAGCAAGATTCTCAGTAGTCTGAATCTTCTGGAGTTGAACTTGTCCTTCCTCCAGAATTTCTCTAACAAAATGAAATCGAACGTCGATACTTCGTCCTTGCATGATAAACTTGGTTCTTTGCCAAGTGAATAGCACTATGGCTATCGCAATGTACAACAATGTTGTTTTGCCTAATTCCAAATTCATCAAGAAACCCTTGAAGCCAAATTGCCTCCTTCACAGCCTCTGTAACTGCCATGCACTCTGCCTTTGTTGTAGACAAAGCCACTGTTGACTGTAAAGTAGACTTCCAACTAACTGGTGCTTTTGCAAGAGCAAACACATAACCAGTAGTTGATCGACGTTTATCCAGATCACCGGCATAATCAGAATCATAGTATCCGACTATGCGTTGACCACTATTCTTATCCTGCTCAAAAATCAATCCAACATCCACGATGTTCAAAAGATACCGCATAATCCATTTCACAGCTTGCCAATGATCTTTGTCAGGATCATGCATGTATCTTCTCACAACTCCAACTGCCTGTGAAATGTCTGGTCTTGTACACACCATAGCATACATCAAGCTACCTACAACATTTGCATAGGGAACTTTTGACATGTATTATTGTATTTCCCGTTCTGGCATCAGTTTTTGGGGACTTGAGCTGCACTAAGTTTGCAAATGAGGAAATAAGAGGTGTACTACAGTTTTGGTTTTGTCATCCATACCAAAAACGCTTTAGTATCCTTTTTCAGATATTTGCTTCTGATTCAGACAAAGTTCTCCCCAATTTCCTATCTCTGGTTAAGTTCCATGTTACCGAGAATCCTTTTTGCTTCGGCCCGATCTTTCATTTCAAATTTCTTGAATTTCAACTGATCTTCATAATTCTCCAATTTCTTCTTTATTCTTTGAAGCTATCAGCATATCATCAACATACAAAAGTAGATAAATGAAAAGAGCCCCATCTTGTAGGCTTGCGCAAAATACACGCAATATCATATTTGCTTCTTGAGGGTACTTCTGCCCTGCATAAACTATCAAATCGCTTGTTACCACTGCTCGGAGATTGCTTTCATTTCGTTAAAGCGATTTTTCAAGTTTGCATTACGTTATTTTTCCTTTCCAGGCAACCTGAATCCTTCTTGGCTGGTCATTATAGATTTTTTTTTTTTTTTTTTTCTCGTTCCAGATTCTCCATGTAAAAAACGCAGTTTTTACATTCCAATTGAAACAAACGCAGTTTTTACATCCAATTGAACTAGTTCCAAATCAAACTATGCTACCAAGGCTAACAAAATCCGAATGGAGGAATATTTTACAACTGGAGAAAGCAATTCATTATAATCAATTCCCTCTGTCTGAGCGTAGCCTTTAGCTGCCAACCTTGCCTTATAATGAACACTGTCTCTGTCAGGAAATCCATCTTTCTTTGCATATACCCATTTGCATCCTATTGCCTTTTTCCCTTTGGTGGATCAACTAAGTTCCACGTCTGATTCTTATAAAGGGACTTCATTTCATCTTCCATAGCTTTTATCCACTTTATTTCTTCTGAACTTTTGACAGCTTCATTAAAAGTGGATGCAATGCTATCATCTGCAATTGGAGATGCATAGGCCACCATATCATCAAAAGGGGTTTCAACTAGTTTTATATATATATACTAAAATGATAACCAAATTCACTGATCATTGAACAATGCAATGCCCATTAAACAATCTCATTTTTTTGCTATTCCTTTTTTACCCTCCTTGCTTTTACTGCTCATTAACTCCCATTTTCAAAACGTGGCAAGGAAAAATAAAATCACTATGTATAGAATAGTGCAATACCTATTAAACCATCTCATTTTTCGCTATTCCTATTTTACCGTCTGCTTTTACAACCCACTAAATTCATTTTTTTTTCTACACATGGCAAGAATTTAGCTTGCCCACCTAACATAATGTTTAAATTTGTATATATAATATTAGATGAAATACAGTATTGTATTATATTATACTATAATATATTATGATTATAAATGTAAATTGAAGTATTTTGACAATTTCTACTCCCATTGAGTATCTGGAACCATTACTAATAGCCATGGCCAATCTCTTTTCTCATCTTCCTTAGATAAAATAATATATTATATAATATCATATTATTATCATATGAAGAGTGACTTTACAAATACTTTTACTATTTTCCTTCATTTTATTTTTTTTTTCATTTTTATTCTTTGAAAATTTGACCCATTTTTCCATTTAAATAGAGAAGAAGATAAAGAATAACTAATTTTACTTTTTAAAATTTTTATTTATTAACCAAATAAAAAGAAATTAGTATAAAGAAATTTTATTTAAAGTAATTTTAATTTTTTACCATTTCTATTCTGTTCGGAGACATTTGATGCGTCTACCAGTCTGAGTTTCCACCAATTTTTTCCATTTGAGGAAAACTCCTAGCACTTCATCTTTTGACTTCAAAGTATACACCCAAACCCTTCGAGAGAAATCATCAACAAAGGTTACATAATAATGTTTGCCACCTAAAGAAGCCGTTGACCATACATCAGAGTTAACATAGTCCAAACTACCCTTGGTATTATGGATTTCGATGCCAAATTTCACTCTTGTCTGCTTTCCTTTGGTGCAATGCTCACAGAAGTCCAACTTGCAGGTTTTGACATCTTTCAATAATCCCTGATCTGACAATCTTTTCCAGATCATTTCGTCCTTTGAATATTGACCGTTAGATATAAGACTTTGCTTCAGGTCAACCATTCATTACCACCGCCTTACGTGAACTGTAGGATCTAAACTTTACTTCTTTAACAGCCGTTGGATCTAGGTTTAGACGCTCTAAAAACAAAGACCTTAACTCAGCCGCGAAAGAGCGAAACCAATAGAGTGCGAGAACCGAGCTTCTTTCTCTGACCCTATCTTGCTTCAGGCGATCCTTATCGGAATCGTTCTCAGGTGCGGTTCTTAATCCTCTATTCTCTTTGTGTGGTGTTTCTTTTGTTTGTTGATGAAATCTCTGGTTAGGGTTATAATTTTCTCTTTCGTTTGATTATGGTAGAATTCGATGCAATTTTAACTTTTATAGAATACAATTGTTTCGTTCTAAGAAAAGGAAGGGACTCGAAAATCATTACATTGTAGGTTTCTGTAATTTAAACTGGTTCTGGAGATATTTGTTTGCGGAGGAAAATTTTGTTTGCTCAGTTTCCTCTGTATGTTTCGTTTCATTGCCTATGAAATATTATTGTATTGTTAGGTACCTGGTTGAGCATTCAGCACAATTTCTTACTTGCATTTGGTTTCCTGGTGCAGGATGGATTCACAAATCAAGCACGCCGTGGTGGTGAAAGTTATGGGTCGGACAGGATCGAGGGGGCAGGTGACTCAAGTCAGAGTCAAGTTTCTTGATGATCAGAATCGATTCATCATGAGGAATGTCAAGGGACCTGTTAGAGAAGGTGATGTGCTCACCCTTCTTGAGTCTGAAAGAGAAGCCAGGAGGCTTCGTTAATATGTGCATCTCTACCCACTTCTTTTTTTATGGTTTAATTTTGTATTAGTATCAAGACTCTTTTGTTATGCTATAGCTAGAGTGATTAAAAGTGCTGTTATGAGCTTTTGCTGTGCGGTTTACATTTTCCCAGCCATTGTCATATCAAGACTAGAATTTTGATTTATGGAGTTGCTTAAGCTTTAATATACCCTAAAGAATTTCTCTTTTTCTGGGAAATGCTATTGTAATTTATCTTTTGTTATGCTAGTTGGTTTTTTTTGTCTTCTTTTAACTTTTTTTATGTTATGATCTCATTATTTTAAATGATTCAACTCATTGCTTATGAGTCTATTACTGAAAGAATGGTCCCATTGGAAACAATCTAGCCTTGCATATTGTTTTAAGAGATCTGATTGTTTATTTGAATGTTTTTGGTAAAATTTGACTATGGTTTTGCTTTCAGTAAAGTCATAAATTTTCATTGATGGATGTCTTTTTATACTATCGAAATTTTAAAGTGCGAGAGAGAGAGAGAGAGAGAGAGAGAGAGAGCGCAAAGAGTAATAAAAATGAAGATGTAGAAGTCATTGTTACTTGCTCTTTAGCTTCCGTGTGCTTTTAAGTACTTTTGGAATTTATAGTTTTTTATAAGCAAATAAGCTGAAGCTACTCTTATGTAACAAGTGTTTGAGAGCCTTTCTTTTTGGTCTATAAAAACAGTTGGTACTGCTTTGGCACCATGTTAGTATTTTGGGGCGGAGGGGATAGGGAGGTGGGGCAGGAGACCCTCTTCTTGGGCTCACTGCCTAGTGGCTACACGAAGCAAATTTAAGTTAGCACTACTTGGAAATTTTGGTGTTTTGTGACTAATCATTGGAAATCTTGAATCAAATCACTACTTGGCTAATAATTCTATTTTATTTGTCTTATGGCAATTTGTTTCTGTAATTTTAGCAATTAAATTAATAAAATAAATACTAAATATTATTTTAACGATACATAATGTCTGGACTATTAAAAATCCAAAACAGAAGATTAAAAATAAGATTCTTGCCAGTTTATGAATACTTAAGCAAGTCGAAATCTAACCTTGAGTTGTTCACCCTTCGATAGACAGTCAGAGAACCTTGCCATTATACATGCTGAATCTAGATTAACAATTCAAGTATGGATAGTTTTGCAAAGGTTCGAGTGAGAGTGTTTTGATGGGTCGTGTTTGTTTTTTGGAATTTTAGTCCGAATGGGCATTTTAAGCCCGTCTCGTGGCCCTTAGGTCTTGTAGACTTGGTAGTTTGTTTTTTTTCTCAACTATGTTATGATACGTAAAACCCAGCAAAATTTATACATCAATTGTATTAATTAACCCCTTTTTAATTTTATAATTATAATTAGTAACTTGAGGCCACCATAAATCCTTCCAAAACATTAGGTTCAATCCATTATCCATAAACAAGCAAAGGATAAACCATATCTCAAAATAAACAAAAGGAAAGAGTAGCCTCACCAATAATATGCATGTCAAAAGGGGGAATCAAGCCAAACTCCAAATCAGCATGTCCTGCTCCTACACATAAATAGGATAGAAGATGGGAAAGACAATCAACCCTCAAATACACAAAACATTATCCACATAATTACTTGGTACACATACACACACACAGCGTTCTACAAGGTATAACAATTATCTTAGAATAACATTAAGACAGAATGCCACTAGGAAAGGAATGTGCCATCATCACTAGACCAAATTCAGCACCGTACTCCTGCTAACGAAAGACCTGGAAAAAAATGGGGAACAAGAGTGAGCGTTCAACTGAATAAAAAGTATAGCTTAAAAGTAAAGAAGTTATTCATCAAGCAATATATCTATCAAACTAGGTTGAACACGTTTATGTTGCCATGCCAAAACAACTACTTACATCAGCAAGTCAACCATGATAAAATTTGTCAATGAAACTGCTAGATGCAAGAATTATATGCATGTAGTTCTAAAAAAAGAAGGGATTACAGTTGTAAGAGGAGTGAATAGTGTAACTTTGGCTATAAGAACAATTGAGGGTTGGAGAATGTGTGTCGATTATAGAAACGATATATAGAAAACTGAATAATATCATTGGTAAAGGATTCATTTCCGGTTGCCTATATTGATCAAATCTTGGAGAGATTAACAGGGTCGTTCATATTTTCTATTATTTAGATGGTTTATTAGAATTTACAAAATATGCCTACATCCTCAATAATCAAGAGAAAAAAACCCATTTCACATTGCCCTTACGACACTTTTTGTATTTAGACCCAGCCTTTTTAGGACTATGTAATGCGCCAAACAACATTTCCAAAGATGCATAATGACCATAATTTAGACGCATGCCTTTTAGACTATGTAATGCGCCAACAACATTCCAAAGATGCATAATGACCATATTTTCTGATTTTACTGAGGAAATAATAGAAGTTTCTATGGATGGCTTTATATGTATGGAAATTATTTTGATTCTTGTTTGTTTAACCTGTCTAAAGTTCTGAAGCGCTTTGATGAAGTTAGCCTTGTTCTAAATTAGAAGAAATGTCAATTCATGGTTCAAAGTGTAGTCCTTGACACATAGTTTCAATGCGGGAAATTTTTTATTCTATCCATTTAGCAAGTGATTCCTATAATCATGAAGGTAAATTGTAAGTTCAAGTTTTAAGGTTCAATCTCTAAAGTGAATGGTCTTGTATTCAAATGAGAGATTAAAGGCTAGATTAACCAAAATCCCATTCTTAAGGGAAACCAAGAGTTCAATATTTAAGAATGAATTGAGCTGTTTTGAAGATAAATTTATGCAAACTCATCAAAAGTGTTCTACTTCCTAATGTATATCATCAAATTAACTAGCAGAAATGCATGATTTTTTGAAAATTTTCGGGAACAGTTCAAAAACAATGATGCGAGGAATAACTGCACAAGAAATAACTACAGAGGACTTGATGCCAAATGATCTATGAGATGCTTTTATGAGAGATCATTTCGAATAAGGACAATATAAATTAGTGAGTTCAAAACATACCTTCCAGACTTATTTTCAACATTATCCTCAATGTTAACATGAATCTTGGTATAATTCTCAAAATTCAAACAAAATTCAAACAAAATTCAGGCAGATGTCAGAGTAAGCATCATTTAAATCACAAGCACCATATATTGGAGGGAATTCATGCATGTAATGAAACCATAAAACTAAACTGACAATGATTCAAATAAAATGCAATTAGGAATGATAAAAGCGCACAGGTTTAATAAATTAAAATGACAATCCAAGATGATAAATAGTTAATAATTTAAAACATTAAACATTAAGGGAAATGAAGACACAATTATTAAGGTTCCATTAAAACACAATTAAAACAAAAAAACACAAACACATATAAAGATATCGTAGGACTTCAATCTCAAAAGGATTGTGAGGAATCTGAATCGGAGAGGAGGCGGTGAAGGGTGCAGGTCAATTGGTGCGGGCTGTCCTTGAGACGATCCAATTGCACAAGAACTTGTGCTTCAAAATTTTAAAGTGCATCTGACACATTAGGCATTTGGAGTAGGTTCAGCAGGGTCTGTCGTAAGGCTTTACAATGGGATTTTCCACTTATCGGTACTAACAGCTCTTGCCCAAATCGATTGACGAAAATATATCCGCCCTTGCATTTCTTAAGGATGCCCATGTAGATTAAAGTTTTGGGGTTGATATTGATGGCAGGTGGCAGTTGCTCATAAGGTGGGTCCGCGAGGCTAAGAATATTTAAACTGACATCCAAGGTGATAATGAGAACCCCAAAGGCAATGACTCCCTTTTGTCAAGAAGCGATGTGGAACACGTGGCCAACTATCCAAGATGCAGGGGAGTGTTTTTGATTGTGATGAAAGGTCGACAAAAAGAAGTAACTCTTGGTGAGAAACATGGCTTTGGCTTCCCCCATTGCAAAATCAGTATTTTCCAAAAACCTAGGAACGATTTGCAACATTTATTTCCTTGGACTTAGCTTGTCGATCTTCGAAATTATGGGGCTCGGTAGGAGAGTTCAGTCCATGCATCATCAGTAAGAAATTCCAATGTAACAAATTTAAACCCATCTTGACAATTAGAAAATCCTAAGTTGTGGTTAAAAGCGTCAAGGCTCAATTTTACCTATGTCCTAGGAGTGAAAATATTACATACTGACGTCCCTGAACCTTTATTTTTCAAAGAGAGTTAACAATTCCAAGGTTAGCGAGGGTGGAGGACAAGAGAATGTTTTTTGCAACAAAAGATTCTCATACCATATTTCATATTTCATAATATAGAAAGCTGGGAGTGTCTAATGAAATTGGTTCTGAAGCTTTAAAATCAAGGTATCTATTGGTGATGAAGGTTCGGTGACACAATTTCTCATGCAATTTGTTTCCATCATCGCAATTGCTTTTGAATTTTGGCTTGCTTCTTCTCTTCATGGGAAGTAGGAGTCAGCAGCACGTTTTCGATTTTTTGAGCTGGATGGGTCTTGAGGTGGTGAAGGACCATGTGATCTGGTCTGGCGAGTAGTAAGCTGGTTTCCGGCGACATTAGGGAGCTTTACTTAAGCTATTTTTGGAGTGATTGAGATGGTGATGCATTGTGGAACAAGGAAGGTGATTATTTGTAACGTGTTTTGGGGAAAGTAAAATAACAGGAAAGGAGTGTTTATTAGTTAGGCCTTCTGGGTTGGTGGACGTGGGCGATTACATGAGATAATTTAAATTTCAAAAAATTATATTTAAGTGCAGAGGTGAGTTTAATTGTGGATATTAAAGAGGTGGTTATGTTGTGGGTTCCCTCCAACAAGTGGGACCCACACAAGTTTGAAGAAAAAAAAAAGGAAGGAAACAACAATCACGTGTTGTTTTTGTTAGTTAAAGAAAGTGTTGTTTTTGTTAGTTAAAGAAAGAAAGGGAAATTCAAATGTGTGTGGGCTCCACACACGTTTGAATGAAGAAAAAAAATAAAATAGGCACGTTTTTGTTGTTCAAAGGAGGCAGCAAAAATAAACATGAGTACGCATTCTTTTTTTCAACAAAAGTTGGGGGATGCGTTGATTAAAACGCATCCCCTTCTCCTATAAAAAGGAGAAGGTTTTCCTTCATTAAGGCGTACAAAAACATAGGATAGGAGAAATACACATTTGAGTGTAGAAAATTTTAGGAAAGGGTTCCTAAAATTGGGAAAGAGAGAAAGGAGAAATACACATTTGAGTGTAAGAAAAATTTTAGGGAAAAGGGTTCCTAAAATTGGGAAAGAGAGAAAAAGTTGAGGCATTTGTAATTTTTAGGTGTTTTTGAAACCACTTTAGAGTGCCACTATTTTTGTAAATCTGTTCTTTTGTACCTACTATTACTTTTAGTGAAGATTATTCGGAGTTTTTGTCCCGTGGACGTAGCCCATAACAGTTGAAGGGTGAACCACGTAAATCTCGGTGTTCTTATTTTTCATCTGGCATTTACGGTAATTATTTTAATTTTTACCATGGTTATTATTTCTGGTTGATTCAATCGTCAATATTCAATACGTAATTATTGAGCATTTATTCTGCGGGCCCCACTCGGGATCAGTTATAATCCCAACAACTGGTATCAGAGCCTTTTGTTGGTAAATTCTGTCAGTTTCTACAAAGTTACTATTCACGTGTATAGTGAATTTCGTGAATAGTAAAATTTTGTCAGATTCAGAATTCCACATGGCTAATGACGGGGCAATGATCAAATTAACAGATTCCAATTATTCAATGTGGAAATCCAGAATGGAGGACTACCTCAATTGCAAAGATATGTACGATCCAATTGAAGGTGACAGTGCAAAGCCGGAAGAAAAAGCCGGAAGAAATGAAAGAAGGCCAGTGGTGGAGAAATTAAAAAAAGCAGACTTTGGTACAAACACCAATGAAATGGCTAGCAGTACAACCAATGGATAGATGCTAGCCTGTACAATCACGTGAGAAATGAAAAAGATTCCCAAGTTCTCTGGAAGAAATTAGAGAATATGTACGAGGCTACGGATGCTCAAGGAAAAGTCTTCATGATGTGTAAAATCATGAACTTGAAGCTGTCAGAGGGACAATCAATTACACAACACCTAATCGATTTTGAAAGACTCGTAATTGAGTTAGCAGTTAGCGGTATGTCCTTAGAAGACGAGATGCAACATGCCTATTGTTGGGATCTCTACCGGATAGTTGGGATACTTTTGTGGTGTCATTGAGTAACTCAGCTCCAAATGGTGTGGTAACGATGTCTATGGTAAAAAATAGACTACTTAATGAAGAACTACAAAGAAGATGTTGCCAGTATCAGTTCACAAGCCCTTGTCACAGAGAATAGGGGCCGGAGTAAGGGTAGAGGTCGAGGGCATGTAAAGTCAGGTGGTAGATCCAAGACCAGAGAGATGAGAAAATGTTACCATTGCGAGAAAATGTTACCATTGTGGTAAGGAGGGGTCATCTCAAAAGAAATTGCTCGTTTACTCAAACAAGATAAACCAGACCGAAGACGCGAGAATGACCAGAAATACATCTGTCTACAGTTCTCAGGAAACAGGAGAAGATGGTGAGGTGACTTTAGTCACTCATGATGCAGATTGTTGTCATGTTGGAGATGCAAATACCGAGTGGATAGTAGACTCCTGTACTTCATACCACTGTGTTCCAAAAAGGGAATAATTTTCCACTTATAAAGTAGGAGACTTTGGCACCATTAAAATGGGAAATAATAGTGTCTCGCAAGTGGTGAGAA